TGTGTGTGTGTGTGTGTGTGTGTGTGTGCATGCATGTGCGTGTGTCTGTGTGTTGGGGATATAGTTTCTGTCTGTAGAATTTCTTTCTTCCTTTTCAATAAGGTTTGCTGTTATATTTTAGGTATACCTAATGATCATATTCATCGTAGGAAATTTGTACGTGGACAAAGTATATCTTCATTGTTTTCTTTTACACATACCCTCCCTTCAACCCTTCTCACTCTATTTACAAAGGCTTGCTTTCCATTTTTGCTTCTGTTCTCATTTATGTTTTTCACTAAATTATAATTTGGATATTCTGGGTTCCCATTAATATATTATATAAAACTAGACACTACATATCTTTTGCAGTCTTTCAGTTGGGAGAACAAAGCAATTGAGGGTTAAAAAGAATGAGGATAGGTAGTAGGTATTCATGTGGGAGAGAGGGAAAACAGAGGTATACTAATTCTAGGAATATAGTCTAATTACCTTAGAACCCTTTTAATTTGAGCTTTCCTATTTTCCCCTAAAATTCATGGATCATTCAGGTCTGGGGGCTCTGGTTGAGACCTACTTGAAGGCCATCAACAGTGGGGAAGTGCCTTGCTTGGAGAACTCGGTGAACACTCTGGCCCAGCAGGAGAACACAGCGGCTGTGCAGAAGGCAGCCACCTACTACAGAGAGCAGATGGCCCAGCGAGTGCGGCTCCCCACAGACACGCTGGAGGAGCTGCTGGACGTGCACATGGCCTGCAAGGAGGAAGCCCTCACAGTCTTCTTGGAGCGTTCCTTCAAGGATGAAGATTGCGAATTTGAGAAGCAGCTACTGGTACTATTTGTTATTCAATATGTTTCTTGCTCTTTCCTGCAATGAGTAAAGCCTACAGTGACATTATTAAACTCATGTTTTATTTCTTTTTCCAAGATAAACATTTTGGATTATCATTGAGTATGGAATCTTTAAAAGTATACACCACCTCTTAATAAAGTAAAATAAAATCCAACTTCAGGCACATTATGGAGGCTCTCTCTGGTAATTAAAACATAATTAAAATAAATGTCCTCCTTAGTAATTCCAGGGGGTACCAGCAACTATTTCTATGAGCTACAAGCCTGTACAGAACACTTCCTACTCATCATTTGAATGTTACTTCCTTAATGTGCCCTGGCCCATGGGTGGAAACTAAGTTTCTCTTACAAGAAATTCCTTCCAGCAAATTGTTCATTCTTACATATTGTGGCAGATAAGCATCTGGAGATCCCAAAAGTTTCAGAGTTTCCCATTGCCTGGAAGAAAGTTTCTAGTGTTTTCTTCAATAAGTCAGATTGTATGAGTTCTCATTCATCACACATCTTACTAAACTAGATGAATGTTCTCATCACAGGTTGACATTTTTACCATGTCCTCTGGGATGTTATTTCCTTCTCAGAAACTATTCTGGTGAGATATCTGTACATTTCTTTTGCAGAGAATTATAAAGCATGAAAAGAAGGATTTCTTGGTAAAGAATGAAAAAGAATCAGAGCAATACTGCCAGGAAAAACTGGATCAACTTTCAAAACCATTAATGGAAAGCATTTCAGAAGGGATTTTCTATGTTCCTGGAGGGCACCAGCTATATAAGGAAATGAGGCAAAGAATTGAGGAGGACTACAGGCAACTGCCCAGGAAAGGAGTCAAGGTGAGGAGCAGGGAGCCTGAGACGGCCTAGAGGAATGTGGAGGGCTCTCC